AGGGGGACAGGCCCGACTTCATATTGGCACTCTCCAGCGAAGCGCACTCCTCGGAGGGTCGACGGCGGTCTTCCCTCGACGGCCGCGACGCCCTCTCGCGAGCCGAAAACGGCCAATTCCTCAATCGACGTGTCAGGGTAGGAGGTCTATCCACAGGGGGATTTTCGAAGAAAACAAAAAATACCCCCCAAATGCCCGAAGATGGCCAACGAATACTCAAACAATAATCCCCAGACCATTTCTTGATTTGTTTCTGTTGTTTTTTTGACTATTTTGGGGTTATTTCGTATTTTTCGTCGAAAATCTCCCTGTATAGGGAGCCCACAAAAGACGTACGCGCCCAGCTATGTACATGAACACGGCCCCTCGATTCGCGAGACCGGCCGCGTTGTACGAACATTTGTGCAATGCGTGCTCTAGAAACCATCGTGGATTCATGTACATGTACGTCCTTCTTTCGCTCCTGACTGTAGGGGGACAGGCCCGACTTCATATTGGCACCCTCCAGCGAAGCGCACCCACCGGAGGGCCGACGCCGCTCTTCCCCCGGCACAGCCCTCGGCGGCGGCCCGACGGGCGCTCGGCGCTCGGCCACGCCACCCGCCGCGGTGCCCCGGCCGTCGCCGTCGGCGCCCTCGCCGAGGTCGGCCGCCGAGGCCGCCGCCGTCGTCTAAAACGACGCGAAGATCGATGCAAACGACGCGAAAACGACCACCCACGTCGTCGTCTAAAACGACGCGAAAACGACGTGTGGTCGGGCAACTGCTGTCATCGATGCAGTTCTTCCCCCCCATTGCGAAAACGGCGCGAAGATCGGGACAAAATCGGATCGGGATAACTCGAAATCTCTGAGAATCGGCGGCTTTGGAGGATGTATGGGGCGCCGCGGCCGCTCCAGAGCGTTCCGGAACGCTCTGAGAGCGCTCCGGAACGCTCTGGAGCGATTTATCCCGATCCTAGCCCTGTTTTATCGTCGTCCGCTCCGGCTCGCGCTGCTGCGGCAGCTGCTGGCCGGCTGCGTCGGCCGGTGCTGCTGCTCCTGCTGGCGCTTCGGCGCCTGCCGGTCGTGCTGTTCTCCTGCCACTTCCGCTGCTGCTGCTGCTCCGGTTCCGCCTCACTCAGCCGCCACCCCCCACCACCCCTCTCGTCCTTTCCCTTCCGCCTGATTCTCTTGCTCCTGATCCTGTTCCTGCTCCTGCTCCTCCTCCTCCTCCTCTTCCTCCTCCTCCTTCTCCACATCCTCCCCCCCGTCCTCGTCCTGCTCGTCCTTGTACCTCCGCACTCCTCACTCCTCACTTCTCCTCCCTCCTCTTCCTCCCCCTCCTCCTCTAATTCCCCCACCCTCCTCCGCATGACTCTCTCTGCTCCGCCGGGAGGAAGGATGGGTCATGGGTCCACCCTCCTCATCTTGTCATCCTCCTCCTCCTCCTCGTCCTTCTCCTCCTCTTCCCTCAATGGCGCGCCTCCTCTTCCTCTGGCAGCTTCAGGAATCTCTTCATCTGCGCCAGCGTCTTACCCTTCACCTCCTGCAGAGGGGGCTGCAAAAAGAGATGAGACCGGTGAAAGCCAGAAGTCGTGGAGGAGCAACCTGGGGGCCGCTGAGATTTCTTCCGGGCTGGGAGCGCTCTTGGGAAAATTCATTTCCTCAGGAGAATAATATCAACACCCAGCAGGCGGCGGGAAGCACCACGCGAGGACAGAATGGGGGTGCACAGCGCCGCTGGCAACGCGCACCATTAGTAATAGCGTGCAGAGCGGAGGGCGAGGCAGGAGGCCGTGACCAGAGCAACCTCATAGCCATGTCACTTTTTGCATGTTTGTTCGTGGGTCGCAGCTGCAGGTCAGCGTGGACCCCCCGCGCGCGGAGCGAGCAAGAGACGGCGCCGGAGGCGCCGCAAGGAGGGCCCAGCGCGGATCCAACAAATCCACGTGGGCCTTCGAAAATCCATGTCAATGTAAATGATGTGCTCTTCGAGACCAGGGCCATCTCCTGGCCACTTCCCCCTCCCCATGCTCCTCCCAATCCTCCTGCTCGCAATGAAGGACAAGGGGTCATGAAGAAAACGCGTCCTGGATCATTGGGGCCGTCCCCCAGGACGTCCTGAGCCGTTTGCTGACGCTCCAGGGCCCAGGGAAAGCCCAGCAGCCTGAAACCTGCGAAACACCTCCGGACCTCCTTTCCTGATGATCCTTCTCGTTCAAGCCGAGAGATAGGAAGGAGGGCTGGTGGCGGCGTCCCAACTTGAACGCTCTCGCTGGAACAGGATCCATCAGCATCGGATTGGAAAGGAGGATCGAATCACCTGGATGCACTACAACGCACTGCAAACATCGGATCGTCGGAATATTGGAATCGGATCGGAACGAACGGGCCAGAATGGATGTCGAATTAGATCGATAACATCGAAATTGATCATGTGGGTCGCCGCCGCGTCGACACGACTTCCCCTGATACCACCGTCCCCTCCTCATGCCAAACCAGACCACCCCTCCTCCCCCTCCACCTCCTCCTGCTCCTCACCTCCTCCTCCTCCTCCTCCTCCTGCTCCTTCCCCGCCCCACTTCCTCACCATCTACGCACCTCAAGCTCGAAATGTGCTTCAGCTTTGAAGATAGAGGGCGACACGTTTCCAAATGTGGCTCTCGCCCCAGCGCCACGCACAGACACTTTTAAAGTCCGCGCCAGCTTTGAGAATGGAGGCCGGCTCCTTTTCAGAGTGTGAGTCTCGCCTTGGCGCCGCACACATTCGTCGTCGAACACATGCAGCACGTTCGAAGTTGGATGACTGCTCGTGTTCAGAATGTGTTTGTCGCTTTCAACGCCGCGAACATTCATCTTAAAAGTTCGCAGGCGGCTGAAGAGTTCGTAAGGTTGGAATTCCAAGAATTGGAATATGATGCGAACTACTAGAACTGCCAGGGCTCGATCGAAGTCCCCAGAAATAGACTCTCGCAAGATTCATCAGGGACAGGACGCAACTGTCCCATTGACTAGCGGCGCTGGAGTACCAGGAAGTATGTTTAAGTCGGGCCTGTCCCCCTACAGGGGGATTTTCGACGAAAAACAAAAAATACACCAAACATAATCCAAAAATGCTCCAAAAATAATATGGGGACTATTTTTTTAGTATTTTTTCCCTCTTGGGGGCATTTTGGGTATATTTGTTGTTTTTCGTCGAAAATCCCCCTGTAGGGGGACACGCCCGACATAAAAGTATGTTTATGCACGGTTACCATTTTCACATAGTGTCTGAAATCGAAGGGTGCCCGAACTCCACCAGATCTACACTGTGACAAACGTTATCGAATTGCGCCGGAGTGTCTGAGCCTGGTGAGGCATCTCCCCTTTGGGAGTCTGGAGGGGGTGAAATATTTCGCGATCGCGATGAATATGTTACTTATACGATTGCCCTTCAATGGGCCACCTCCTGCGATGCAGATGTATATATATATATATATATATATGTATACACATGTTTAGATATGTAGGTGTATATATATATATATATACACAGACATCTAATTATGTAAAATGCGGAGAGGAAACTTGGGGATCTAATGGATTGCAACGTCGACGGCGCGCCTCGGGTGCACACTGGTCCTGCTCCTCCTCCTCCTCCTCCTCCTCCTCCTCCTCCTCCTCCTCCCTGCTCCTCCTCCCTGCCCCTCCTCCCTCCCTCCTCCCTCCCCGCCCCTCCCCCTCCTCACGCAGCTTCCCCGCGGCTGCCGCGGCGCGCCGCTCCTTGGGCAGCGCTGCGACCCAGGCGGCCCGCGCGGGCATCTGCGCGGCGTCGTCGCCGAGGCACCTCAGGTGCAGCTTGCAGATCAGCGCGTAGAGGCGGCCCGACCTGCCGGCGCGAGGAGGAGGCGAAGAGCGCGGCGAGGACCGCCGGAGAGAGAAAACGAGAGGTCTGGAAACAAGACAAGAGGGCTGGACGAAGGGCGGGGCGGAGGGCGGCAGGGGGGGGAGGAGGGAGGGGGAGACGAGGGAGCAGAGTCTGAAGGGGCCCTGGGACACACAAATCAATACACACAAAGAACAAGATTTCCCATATTTTCCATATTTTCTGAATTTTTGTCTTCCCCCCCACTTCCCATTTTTTCCCAACTTTTCTGGGGCATCGACGTTTCATTGTGTCTGTGTGCTTCTTTCCCTCCTGAGAGTCATGGAGTCATGGATCCAGAAGAGGAGGAGGAGGAGGAGGAGGAGAAGGAGGAGGAGGAGGAGGAGGAGGAGGAGGAGGAGGGGGAGGAGGAGGACGAGGGGAGGAGGAGGAGGAGGAGGAGGAGGAGGAAGAGGAGGAGGAGGAGGAGGAGGAGGGGGAGGAGGAGGACGAGGGAGGAGGAGGAGGAGGAGGAGGAGGAGGAGGAGGAGGAGGAGGAGGAGGAGGAGGAGGAGGATGGGGAGGAGGAGGACGAGGGAGGAGGAGGAGGAGGAGGAGGGGGAGGAGGAGGAGGAGGAGGAGGAGGAGGAGGAGAAAGTGCGCGGTGCACACCGCACGCAGGCGGGCCGCAGCGGCAGGCAGCCGGCACCCCGGGCCTCCCCATTACCGGAGGGAGCGGGCCCGCAGGCGCGCGCGCACCGGCGAACAGGGGATGGGCAGCTGCCTCGTCGCCCAGCGACTTGCCACGAGCCGAGAGGGCGAGATGATGACTACCTACCAGACCACCCCAACCCAACCCGAAGACCCGAATTTCGGGTTGGGGGGGGTATGGGCTCCAGATGTGTTTTTCCAATGTTCCCCGACCCCCCCCCCCACTGGAAATGGAAGGCAGATTGAGGCCTTCAGGTTGGGTTGGGGTGGTTTGTTGGGTGGTGAGATGAGTGAGAAGAGGAGGACGAGGTGGAGGAGGGGTCTGCGAGGAAACAAAGCTGTGGAGTGACAAGCAGGAGGAGCAGCACTCCCTGCTCGTAGACGGCCCCCCCAAAACACGCACGCACACATAGATGATGACTAGAACCATCGCGCGCGCTTCGCGCGCGCTCAAGTTCTGGCTCAGGCCAGGGGGGCGCTGGAAGATCAGGATCTTGGACAGCGCTATCAAGCACAGGCGCGTGACATAGTCGTGCCTCCTGAGGGCCTCTTGGGGACCTCTTGGGTCTTCGTGGGGGCATCTGAAGGGCTTCTGGGGGTTCTCCGTGCTTCCTCAATGTGCTGTTGGAGGCACCTCTTGGATGCTTTTTGGGGGGGCGTCTTGGGGCTTCTTGGGGTCCCTTGGGAACATCGTCGGGGTTCTCCAGGCAGTCGGAAGGTGTTCTGCAATCTGAAGCCGTTATTGACCGTCTCTGCTGCGTGGAGGCCCGACTTGAGGGCGCCTGGGGCCACACTGAGGCAATCCGGAAGCCTCCTGGGGGCCTCCTGTTGACAGTTTTGATGCATCGAGGGCACAGTTGGGCAATCTTGGGCCCCTCGTGCGACTCCTTGGGGCTTTTTGGGGCCACTTGGGAAGCTTATGGGGGCCTCGTCGGACCACTTAGGGACTCCTGGGGCCTTCTCTGGGGCTCGTAGGGCGGAAGACTCTGCTGTTGGGTTCGCGTTCCCATTCTTGGGCCTCTCAGGCCGTCTTGGGCGCCTCATGCACCGTCTTGGGGCCTCGTGGGCCGTCTTGGGGCCCTCTTGGATTTCCTCTTCGGCTATCGTGGAGCGGTCTTGGGGGCCTCTTGGGCCGTCTTGGAGCGTCGGGATGCCAAACGGAAGAAACGCTAAAATGCACCAAAAACCAGAAGCAAATCCGTGATGTTGGCTTGTTGGGGCCCTTTTGGGAGTGCGGGCCATCCGGAGGCCATCTTGGGCGTGTTAGAACGATAACTCCGCGATAGTAGGCCTCCTCGAGGCCTCTCGCATAGTAGGCCTCCTGGAGGCCTCCCGCGGCCCTTTTCATCTGTGTTGGGGCTGTCTTGGGCGGTCTGAAAGCGTCCCTGGCGCCACGACCCACCCACGGCGCGTCGCCCCCCCCCCCGCGCCTCGGTCCATGTATATATATATATATATATATATACACGAGCAGACATACATACATACATACATACATACATGCATGCATGCATGCATGCATGCATGCATACATACATACATACATACATGCATACATGCATGCATGCATGCATGCATACATGCATACATGCATACATGCATACATGCATACATGCATACATGCATACATGCATACATGTACAGCATGCATGCATACATGCATACATGCATACATGCATACATGCTTACATGCATACATGCATGCATGCATGCATGCATACATGCATACATGCATGCATGCATGCACATACACATACACATACACATACACATACACATACACATACACATACACATACACATACACGTGCACATGCACATGCACATGCACATACATATATACAAACATACGTACGTACATCCATACATGCATGCATGCAACAATACATGCATGCATGCATGTATAAATACATGCATGCATGTATGCATACATACCTACATACCGACATACATACGTACATGCATACATATATACATGCATGCATGCATCCATGCATGCTTGCATGCATGCATGCATGCATACATGGATGCATACATGCACACATGCATACCAACACACGCATGTACGCATACATACATGCACACATTCATAGTTACATGCATGCATGCATACATGCATGCATACATGCATACCTACCTGCCTACCGACCTACCGACCTACATACATACATACATGCATACACGTATACGTGCATGCATGCATACACACATGCATACACACAGACGTACATATTTACAGACAGGCATACATATACATGGATGCAGACATACATACATGCCGATGTGCATGCCTACATACAGTTATACATACATACATACATACATACATACATACATGCATGCATGCATGCATACATGCATACATGCATGCATGCATGCATGCACAAACATACAGACGTACATGCATACATACATACATACGTGCATGCATATTTACATACACACATACATAATTATATAAGTACATACATATATATATATACATACATACATACATACATACATACATACATACATACATATGTACATACATACATGCATACATACACACATATATGCATATATACATACATACATACATACAAACGTACATACATACATACATACATACATACATATCGACACATGAATTGATATGCATTAATCACGTATAAAGATACATGTGTCTATGCATGCGACATCGGGGGTCTCTTACAAAGAGTTTTGAAGCCTTGTGGGTGCCGTCTTGGGGCATCTTGGAGTGGGTTTCTTGGGGGCCTCTTGGGGCCTCTTGGGGGCCTCTTGGGGCCTCTTGGGAGCTTCCTGGGGGCCTCTTGGGGCCTCTTGGGGGCATCTTGGGGCGGAGAGCTTGAGTTTTCAGTTCGCGTTTCCTCTCTTGGGCCCCTCTTGGGGCCTTCTTGGGATTCTCTCGCGCCGTCTTGGACAACGCGCGACTTTTACGGTACTGCGCATACGGGAGATCATGCGGAAGACCAGCGGGGAGATACCACGAGACTCGAGAACACGAGCGAACACGAGCACAACCCAGACAGGGGGCGAGGACGGGGCGGCCCAGCACGCCAAAATTCCAGCAGCAGAGGACGAGCAAGAGATGGAGGAAAAGCACGGACGAATACAGTGGAGACCCGACCACAAGAAACCTTCCACGAGAAACCCAACCCTGAGACCCCAGAGCGTCCATCAAGTTTTGGTGTGGGAACATCACGCTTTCAAGAGCAAAACCCTGGAAACCCACGAAACCCAGCGCACCCTGGAGGCGAGCAGGGTGTTTCTTCGCATGGGCCTCCACTGTACACCGGACCAGGATTGAGAGGCAACGAGAGAGAGGGTAGAGAGTGCAGATTGAGAGCAGAGGAGCTGGAAAGGGACAGAGCGGACCAGGGATGGAGGTGGTAGTGGACAGGACGCACAAGAAGAAGCAGAAGAAGAAGAGAGCGGGATACATAGCAGGAGGGATCATCATCCCACTAGCCCTTCAGGGCGTGGGTGGTTCAGCTTGGGGAACTTCCTCTTCCAACCCCCCTTCTCCACACCCCCTCCTCCTGGACCTGGACGGGGACGGTCGCGGCGCGTTACAGCGTCCAAGATGGCCTCGGCGAAAAGACCAGCAGCATTATTGTCAATAAGGTTTTGGCTTAATTTTCGCCTCCTGGTGGGGGGCCCTAAATGAGTACCCCTCATTCATTGATCGGCCACCTCCAAGATGGCCCAAAGATGGCCCCCGAGGCTGCCATGAGTGCACAAAGAGGGCCCCAAGAGGCGCCCAATAGGCCCCCAAGATGCCCCCAAGAAGCTCCCAAGAGAACCCCGAGAAGCCCGGAAAGGATCCCTCGAGGCACCCAAGACGCTTCAGGAGCCGCCACGAGGCCCCCGAGACGCCCCTACAGGACTACAAGAAGCTCTCAAGAGACATCCGGAGAGACCCCGAAAAGCATCCAAGAGGCCTCTGGCCTTTCTGTTTGCCCTCCTCCTCTTCCTGCTCCTGATCCGCCTGTTCCTCCTCCTCCCTTCTCCCTCCTCCCTCCTCCCCCTCGCCCTCCTCATCATCCTCCCCTCCTGTTCCGTCTTGCTGGTGATGTTATTGAGATTCCTTTTCTCCTCTGCGATCCTCCCCTTCTTGGTGTACGACGGCTTCCAGCCTTGAATCCACTGCGTGCTCCCCCACATACCTGATCAGGGCAACTCCGTCAGGGCATCATTTCTGGATGGACTGGTGGGGTTACGCTACGCCGAATATGTAAAGCTGCTAAGAAGCCGAAGAGGACAACAAGGATGTTGACACTTGGTAACACCTGAAACCTTGTTACGACCAGTGTCCATCGCGAAATCAGACCGCGACGAAAGAGAATACCCTGGAAGCGAAAGAGGGATGGGAACATAATAACAAAACACAACATAAACGTGAACCGTCGGAGGTCCGCACGAATTCCCTAGATCGGAGCTGGAACCCCCTGTCGGCGCCTCTGGCGCCGCCGCCAGCGCGCTCCGCGCGCCATGGACGGGGCTCAGCGCCGATTCAGGAGATCCGCACGGACTTCCAGAAGTTATGTTGGTACCGATGTCTCTTTTTCTCCGCAACTGACTGGTTGGGCCGTCCCATCCTCGTCCAACTCTCCAAGTGCCGGGCACCCCTTCCCCTCTACCTCTGGCCCGTCCCCCTGCAATCCTTTTTTCGCATGCAAGCGGGATCATTGCGAGCGAACCTTCGTAAATACCCAGTCTGCGGAGGACTGCCTGACTGGGGGACACCCCGATCGTCACCGCTCCGGGGCGGGTGCGGGGATGGGGGGGCGGCGAGCTTGCCCAAACCAGGCGAGGGAGGGAGGAGAAAGAGGAAGAGGAATAGGAACAGTGTGCAAGCGTATCAAGCGATTGGCACCTGTGCAAAGCAATGAAGAACCCTGGGGCGATGTCGGTTTCACAAGAACTGAATCATCCAATCGGGCGGTGTTTCTGCTGCTAGGCGGCAGCATCGTTCAGCACCAAAACTGTAACGACCACTGCGCCGCCCTGGCAAAATCTTGATTCCGGCAATCATGAAGACGACACGTTACACGGGCGACCAAGAAATCTACGCTCACCCTTCTAACGCTTTCGGGCCGCACTCCGCACAGCCCCCACGCCCATCCCCGCCCCCACGCCGAGGCGCGGCGCGCGACTCGTATCGCACGGTGGCATCGTTGTGGAGGAGGCCGTCCTTGAGGCGCAGCCACTCCCCCGGGTGAGTGGCCCCCGGATTCTGCACGATGGACTTGTGGTGCTCCTGCGGGCCGGTCCCGCCCCTCGCTCTCGTCCTCTTAATCGGGCTGCTAATGTGTTTTCTAGTCATCCCTCTCCTCCTCCTCCTCCTCCTCCTCCTCCTCCTCCTCCTCCTCCTCCTCCTCTTCCTCCTCCTCCTGCTCCTCCCACCTTTTCCTCCACCTCCTCCTCCTTCCTGCTCTCCCTCTCCTGCTCCTCCATCTCTCCTCCACTACTCCTCATCATCATCCTACTTCCTCCTCCTCCTCCTCAGCCGCGCTGTCATCCTCCTCCTCTTCCGCCTCCTCCTCCTTCTCTTCTTCTTTTTATTACTATTACGAATATTATTACTAACGGTTGTATTATCAGTACCATCAGTATTATCAGTGTTCCTCCTCCTCCATCTCCTCTTCCTCCTGCTGCTCCTCCACCCCCCCACCCCACTATCATCATCATCATCATCATCATCATCATCATCATCAGCAGCAGCATCATCATCATCATCATCATCATCATCACCACCACCACCATCATCATCATCATCATCATCAGCATCATCATCATCAGCATCATCATCATCATCATCAACAACATCATCATCATCACCATCACCATCATCATCATCAACATCATCAACATCATCATCATTATCATCATCAGCATCATCATCATCATCACCATCACCATCACCATCAGCATCAGCATCAGCATCAGCATCAGCATCATCATCATCATCAGCATCACCATCAATATCATCACCATCACCACCACCATCACCATCATCACCACAATCACCATCGCCATCATCATCAGCATCACCACCATCAGCATCATGTTCATCATCAGCATCACCATCATCATCATCATCATCATCATCATCATCAGCATCACCATCATCACCACCATCATCATCACCATCAGCATCATCATCATCACCATCATCACCACCACCATCGCCATCCTCCCCACCTCTCTCTCGAGGTCACCCGCTCCAAGCTCCGCACTGCCAGCAGCGCGCCAAGGCGACCGCCGACAGGGCGGCCGCCCCTCGCGCTCCCTGCCGCCTCCCGGGGGCTCGGCCCCGCTGCTCGGGCAGCCCGCCCGCGAAGCACCATTGCCCTCGCACCCCAGCGGACGGCTCGGCCCTCCCTCCCTGCCTCCCTCCCCGCCTCCCTCTCCTCCTCCTCCTCTGCCTCCTCCTCTTTTTTTTTTGGATGCAACATTCATGCCCCTGAAGTGACAGCAGACAGCTGGCACCACAGCCAGAGGCGCACTGCCCGCGCCACAGTCGGGGCCGTGCCCCCGTGGCGCGCTCATAGCGCGAACAGGGCACGCAAAAAAGGAGCCCGTGCTCCGCGTACCCTGATCGGGGTAGGGGGCGCCGGTGCCCGTGCTCCGACGCCCTCCTCCTCCTCCTCCTCCTCCTCCTCCTCCTCCTCCTCCGCCTCCGCCTCCGCCTCCGCCTCCGCCTCCTCCTCCGCCTCCTCCTCCAACTCCCCCTCCTTTTCCTCCTCCTCCTCCCGCCTCCACCCTCTCACCCACCCCCACCCTCCCTCCCTCCCTCTATCCAATCCAACCCATTCATCTCCCTCTCCATCATGCCATCGCCCCCCGCATTCCCTTGCTCGCCCCTTCTCTCGTCTCTCTCGCTCTCCTCCTCCTCCTCCTCCTCCTCCTCCTCCTCCTCCTCCTCCTCCTCCTCTGCGTTCCCGTCCTTCTCCTGCTCTCCCCCCCTCCTCAGTTGGTCTGCGCCATTGAATTTTCAAAGTTGGTATGCGCATTCGTTATTGGAATTTGTTGTGGGCATGCGTTAGTTGTTTCGAAAGTGGTATCGACATTCGATATGGTCGTTCATTCGGGAGCGCGCGCACGCCAGCGCGGGCGCGAGCAATGAGGAACGCGGATTGTGGCACAGTGCACTCTTCCACGTAGGGGGGCTGACCATACAAATTGAAGGATTGGATTTCACGATTTAGCTTTCGACAATCATGCGCCCAATATTGGCTGGTGCTTGTTGCGCGCACGCGGGAGCGCGACCACGCGCGCGGAAGAAAGGACCCGCCTTCCAGCCGTGAGTCTCTTGCCCTCTCTTTGAAAAAGGCATGTGCGCGGCGCGAAAGGCGCGAGCCACGCTTTGTGAGAAGGACCCGCCCTCCACCCGTGAAGCTCCGTCAAGATCTAAAAACAACTACGTGCCAGCCTGGAACAGGTCCCCATCCCTGTGCGGGGCATCTCCTCATCACGATGCCAATATTAGGGATTCCCTGAGTCTTCCAGGGCGAACCCCTGAGATTGGCACCGCCCTTTGGCGCGTCGATCTTAGGGATAGGGATCAGTTCGAGGCTGGCGAACCATGCGCGGGGCTGGCTGCGGCGACGGCCACGCGTTGAAAAAACAAGCCGCCACCGATCTGCAAAACTCCTGCAGAGATCTCAAGCGAACCCTGCGCGGCGCTGGCGCGAGAAGCACACACCGCTTGAAACGGAACACGCCCTCCAGCCGCGAAGCTCTTTTTCAAGCTTTGAAGACGAGTGTGCGCGGCGCGGGGGCGAGAGCCACCATTCCATGGGGATCCACTTCCAGGGGTGGAAGTGGTACAAGTTCGCCTACAAGGGGGGAGGGATCGATGATTGACTGCCAAGAGTAATGTGAGAGAAAAATCGGGGAGACGTAAGACTCGGGTACGGGGGACTCGGGTTGGCCCGACGGGGCCATCATAAAAATAACGAGGCCCAATCTGAAATTTGACGCGAGCTCCCGCTGCAGACATCCCACGAAAACTGGACCGTCAAAATCCAGGACGCGCTCGTCAAAAAAGTCGGCAAACCCGAGTTCCGGCTTACTTGGGTCTTGCGTTCCCCCGAAAAAAGAAGGATGTCAGAACCACCAGCTTTCGAAGGTCCGCGTGGACTTCTTGGTGTCGGCGTTGGAATCTCCCTGGGGCGCTGAGCGCGACAAGGGCGGCGCTGGAGGCGCCGCCAGGGGGGTCCAGCGCCGATCCAAGAAATCCGCGAGGACCTGTGTATCCTGCTCATGCTCCTCATCCTCCGCATCGTCATCAGCATCGTTCTTTTCTCGGCGGCGAGCGGGGGGGGGAAGTGAGAAGGGGCGGGCTCCAGGGTTTCCGAGAAGACTCGCCGCCCTCTGAGAAGGCCTTCTTCTTCTCATGCCCCTCTCGCTCGCTGCCGACCTTCCTCTTGCAAGATCTGGTCGGCATCGAATCGGGACATCGGCTCGGATCGGAAGTGGATCGAAGCAGGCCGCAGCCTCTGGTGGCAACTCGTGGGATCCCCCCATACCATCTTGCCGGCTCTTGTGAATCGACGCTACACCGACGAGAATTGACGCTAACCGACGCTAAATCGGCGCTAGATCATCGACTCCCAGACGCGAATCGGCGCTTGTCGACGCCAGAAACAGAATTAAGCCATACCAGGCTCCCATGATGTGCTGAATCGGTGCGAGTCGGCGCTAAATCGGCGCTCATCGGCACTGGTCGGCCCAAAAGATGGAATTCAGAGGCTACACCAGGCTCCCATGATGTGCTACCGAACGCAGCCCCAATCGTGCCCCCAACCCCGCCTCCGCCTGCCCTCGCCCTCCCCGCCCGCCTCCTCGCTCGCCCCTGAAGGCCACGGCCATCGCCTCCTTGCCCGCGTTCCTCCTCCTCCGCTTCCTCCTCCTCCTCCTCCTCCTCCTCCTCCTCCTCCTCCTCGCCCGCGTTTCTCCTCCGCCTCCTCCTCCTCCTCCTCCTCCTCCTCCTCCTCCTCCTCCTCCGCCCGCATCCTCGGTCCGCCGCCCCCCTCGCTTTGCCTCTCCTGCCCGCGGCAACCGGGCCCTCGCCCTTAGTGTGCTCGCCTCCTCCTCC